CAGCACTTTGGGAGGCCGAGGTGGGAGATTCACTTGAGCCCAGGAGTTTGAGGCTGCCTGAGCTATGATCACACCATTGCACTCCAGCCTGGGTGACAGAGCCCAACCTTGCCTGTAAAAGAATAACAACAACAACAATAATAAAAGTTTCTGGCTCTTGCTAAGCTGACTGCTCAACCATTAGGAGCAAAAGAGAGAACTGCTAGCTGTAGGGATCAGCCAACACTTTTTTTTTCTTTTTAAAAAGTTTTTTTTTTTTTTTTTATAGAGTGATTTGAGTTCTTCAGGATATATTCCCAGTAGGGGGATTGCGGGGTCATATGGGAGGTTGGTATGTAGAGCTTTTAGGAATCGCCACACTGCTTTCCACAGAGGTTGCACTAGTTTACACTTCCACCAACAGTGTAAAAGTGTTCCCTTTTCACCACACCCTCTCCAGCAGCTGTTATTTTTTGACTTGTTGATAATTGCCATTCTGACTGGAGTTAGGTGAAATCTCAGTGTGGTTTTGATTTGCATCTCCCTGATTTTATCACAGCGTTGTTCACAATAGCAAGAACCTGGAAGCAACCATGCTGCCCGTCAAAAGAGGACTGGATTAAAAAAATGTGGTACATATACACGATGGAATACTACACAGCCACAAAAAAGAACAAAATCATGAATTTCGCAGCAACCTGGATGGAACTAGAGTCTATAATACTGAGTGACCTCTCACAGAAACAAAGATCTGAGTATCACATGTTCTCACTCATATAATGGACCTTAAACATCCAATGCAATACTATAAGAAAATGACTGACAGTACTGGGAAACTATGTGGGGGGGAGGGAGATGGGTTTAACAGTAGCAAATATCTGTCTGGAAACGGGGAAACACCTCATATCAACAGGGTGCCTGAATGAAATGTAATTGTATACCTAACCCTTAACTGTACCCCACAACATCATAATAATAAATAAATAAATAAATAAATAAATTTTAAAAAACCAGTTTTATTGAACTATAATCACACCGCACAATCCACCCATTTAAAGTGTTCAATTCATCAGTTTCTAGGATAGTCACAGAGTTGTGCACCTGTCAACTTCAGAATGTTTTCATTACCCACAAAAGAGACTTACATACCCATTAGCAATCACTCCCAGTTCCTTCCCCTTCAGCCCTGGCAACAACTAATCTACTTATTCTCTCTATAAATTTGCCTAGTCCAGGCCTTTCATGTAAATGAAATCATACAAAATATGGCCCTTTATGCCTGGCTTTTTTACATAGTATAATATTTTCAAGGTTCATCTATGTTGTAGCATGAATCAGTACTTCATTTCTTATTATGGCTGAATACTCATTCCATCTCGTGGATATACCACAGCTTGTTTACCCATTCATTAATTGATGGACATTCGGATTGTTTCCAAACTAGTATGTTTTATAGAGGGAAAAGAAAGCACTGGTTAACTCGGAATTAGCTTAAGTTTGGTCTTTGAAGACCTTATACTTACTGATATACTTTAAGGAAAAACTAGTTTGAAATAGGGTTTTAGACCACATCATTTTCCCTTAGCTTAATGATTCTCAACCGAAAACATGGCATAACTCAGTCCATCCTAACATGAGGTGACATAAATCACATAAACACTTTGGTATGAATGGAACTTTTAAGGTAATTGGAGAAAAATGAGTCTTAAAGACTTAAAGTAACTTGTCTCAAACCCACCAGCTTCATGCAGAGAATCAGTACAGCAATAAAGCTCTCCAAACATGTGTTATGCCAAGACACTAGCCACCACCTCCAGATTTCAAACCCTGGCCTAGGAAAGGGGCCCAAATGAAAGAAAAATACCTTAATGAAATGATGAGTAAGGATGGGATTTTAAGTTAACAGTGTAGGAATCCTATCGTGGACACTGCATTTTCTCCTGATGGTTTATCTGGGCTGATCTAAGCGGGAGGCACCCCAGCGGTGTAAAATGAGAGGACTGGCAAGACACAGGCCCAATGCTGATTTGGCCCAATTGGATTGAAGAGAAACCTCATTCCACATGGTTGTGGTAGAAGGCCCCCTCCCACCTCACCTCATATCTACTGGCCTTAAACAAGAATCACAAAGCTCAGACAACCACTAGGAACCACACCTATAAGGATGAAACTGAAATTGAACATGGAATGGAATGGAGTCCAGAGAAGCAAGATCAGCCACGTGCACAGCCAACCTCTGCCCTTCTGGCTATGAGTTTGAGCAGGGATCCTGGACTTGAAGCCAAAAATGTCCTGACAATATTCCATACCAAACTGTTGAAGGGCCATAGGAATTAGTCACATTGTTTGTTATCCTAAATGTTGAAGGAATAGCAAGGTGTTTAAATGATGATTATGCAGAGCCCCCAAATAGTACCTTTCTTCATTCATCAGGACTCCACTTGACTATGATTGTGAAGACTTCTCATCTCACAATTCCTATATTACACTACTCAGTATGTATTATTTCTGTGGCCTCTCTCACATATGACCTTGGGTATATCAAAGCATCAATTAAAAGCTAATTATAAATATAAGCTGTCATCACGTGTACGTACCTCATCATCAACTAAATATAAGCTCCCCAAGAAGAAATTAGTCTTAGGAACCATAATGTCTGCTCCAGCATCTGGTATGATTCCACTAAAGCCCTGGAGTACTGGTGTGTGTTGAACGATGCCCAGACTAAATAGTGGGTAGCAAGTGCTGTCAGTTTTTTCTTCAAAACTGGGGAGTGTACACACATGAAATAGAGGCTTTTCCACTCATACTAATGGCATGGAATTTTATTTAAGGTACAGTGACTTAACCTCCACTGCAGCAATAAATATATTATTTCCACAAGTGGAGAAAGGGATAACTGATATGCTTCACTTTACTAGACTGTATGCCTATGAAATTATACTAATTTTTTAAATGTTACCTTAAGTTACAAGAGATGTACGTAGCTTTTGAAATAATTTTTGGTACTTTTATTTGCAGTCAACATAACCTTGTAATATTTGTTTTGAATCTCGATATGTGATCTTGATATGTTCATGAAAGGAGATGCCTTTGTCTTTGTCATCCAAAGGACACGATGAGCTATGTTTTAGGTTAGAAAGCACAGGAGCTTAAATATAATTTTTGACAAATGGGATTTGCATATTAAATCAAATGTTACCCTGTCATAACCATATACATACACACACACACACACAGAGAGAGAGAAAGAGAGAGAGAGAGAGAGAGAGAGAGAGAGAGAGAGGAATCCTACTCTGTTACTGGAGTGCAGTGGCACGATCACAGCTCACCGCAGCCTCAGCTTCCTGGACTCAGGCAATCCTCCCTCCTCAGTCTCCTGAATAACTGGGATTACAGGTGTGTACCACAACCACAACGCCCGGCTATTTTATTTTTAGGTAAAGAAGTGTTCTTGCTATGTTGCCTAGCCTGATCTTGAACTCCTGGACTCAAGCAATCCTCTCGCCTTGGCCTCAAAGTGCTGGGATTACAGGTGTGAGCCATCACACCTGACTGGTTAGAGTTTCTGAAAGATCAAAGACTGTAACTTGTTTATTTTTTTCTCCTTTAGTGATTTTAAGTAACATGAGTTTGCTTAGAGCAAGCTATCAAATACCCGGTAATTACTAAAATGGGCCCAAATCAGGAACTGAGCCTGCTGTTAACCCCCTAAACAGATTCTTCTTGGGGAGAGTAAGGGCAAAGGATGACGGACTATGCTCTGGGTCTCAGCACTATTCTTCCTCTCGTCTTGATGATCATGGTTATGGCTAACACTTACTGAGCATTTCCCATCTGCAGGCTCTGTTCTGTGCTTTCTGGAATCATCCCACAGTAACCCAAAAAATAACTCAGGTAGATCAGTTCTATTATTCTCATTTTACAGTCAAGAGAGCTGAGACCCAGAGCTATTAAAATCACACAGTAACTAAAAGAGCAAGAATTCTGTCTCCAGACACACATTCATAATCACCACACGTATGGCCTCAAGCCTGTGGTAACACAAATGATGGATCATACAATTTCAAGTCACTGTAAAGGTGAGACAGAAAGTGTGGATCACTTCACTTTCCCTAGGGAGCGAAAAATCTGGTAGAGGATGAACCCTATTGATGACTCAGTGAAGAAATAGTTAAAAATAAATCTCTATATAGTTAAAATACGGGAACTTCCACCCCATATACGAGTATTACAATGTGTTCTTACATCAGAATTCTAATGCACACCATTTTATTTATAGACTGTCCTCCATAAGACTGTGAGTTTCTTGCAGGTAGGGATTGCACCTCTTGCAATCTTTTATTCCTAGTATGATGCACAAGTGAGTGAACATAAACATTTCATGAATGTTAGCTAGTGAACTCATAGGAATACTTCATGTGAATATGCAATCTCAGCTTGAATCCCCACCTGTCTGCTAATACTTAGCCTGATATACAATATCTTGCTCTGATTCTGAACAGGGTTATTTACATAGACACAAGCCTTAGTTTAAAACCCCAGAGAATATCTGAAATGAATTTCAAGTTATACAAGAAAGCTCCTATCGGTATTGATCCCTAGACACAATCAGGTATAATCTAGACAAAAAGCAGCTCTGATAATCCAGAAGGCTGTAGTCTTTTCTGGAAATGATGAAAAGATGTATAAAACTGTAGATATTGTCAAGCTCACTTGAGTTTACTTTTGTTTGTCTCAAATAATACTTTAGCTCTGTGAAAGAGGTGAATCTTGCCTAAGGCTTTTTAGTTTCCAGTTACAATGCTTTGTTTCTCCTAAGGATACCTTATCCTACACTCATTCAATAGCACTTAGGACCAAAAAAAAAAAAAAAAAAAGAATGCCAACAGTTATTATTTTCTGTTTATAAATATGTGATTAACAGATGAGAAAATGGCTGCCTCAAGAAGGGAGATTATAGTATTTTGTAAGGATCACAAAGTTTGAAGAAACAATTAAGAGTAAAGTTACTCTGAAAAGATTTTCAAAACCTGTTATCAGCTTTATTTTAAAATTGCACATATTTTGAAATGTAGAGTTTAAAGTTGTTGGATTTTTTAAACTCCACACAAAACTGACATAACAATAACAAAGAAATCCATACCAGATTAATCCCTCAGATAGCCAATCTGGTTCACTAATTTAACGCTACAGTACTCAGGATAAATTCAAAGATTTAATATTATCAACTCTTTAAAAAAAACAAGTCATTTGTAACATGCTGCTATAACGAGAACAACCAATGTATAGATTACCAGTACAAAGAATTTCAACGGCAAACTTAGCTTCATTAAAACAAAAAATTAAAACTGAAACAGTGAGTTGATGCAAACAGTCCACATCTGAGAAAAATACTCATCTTGTGAATGTTAACACTCAGCCACATATAATTATGTTTTAGAGAGAGTCATCACTGGCACTGTGACTTGAGTCAGGCTCTTAAGGTCTGGAGTAAGCCAATTTGGGGGGGGGGGAGGCTCCCAGTGACAGAAGAAATGAGACTCAAAGTTGGGATAACTTGTCAAACGCCAGGGTCAGTGAGACCTGTCTCCTGGGAGCAGAATTACATATCAGAGCAAGAGTTAAAAGGTAAATATTTTAAAAGTTTTGTTCCAAAGCTCGTGCATCATCAAGTCACGGTGCAGTTGAAACTACTCTACAAAGCTCAGTCTGAAAAACATCATGTAAGTGCAAATTTGGAGAGCCAAGACACACCCTGGCTTTGCTAAGTGTCTTTTCAGTGTGCACCTTTGCATTTGGTTCAGAATCACAATTATATTGTAGGGACTTTAGAAATACTAGTAACTTTTTAAAAAGCATAAATAACTCTCATTTAAAATGAACCGTTTAGTGAAAATATGTGAACCAGTGAAAGCTCCTGGGCATCACTGCGGACTTTCAGGTTTTATATCTCAAGTATTCCTGAGAAAACAGTTAAGGAAAAAGCAGCTTGTGCCACTTTTTTAAAAGTTCTTTTTCAGAGGTTGTTCAGACTTTTCTAGATGAAATATACAGGCAATATTGCAGTTATAAGACAGACTGAAGGACTGCTTCCCACTTACAGTAAGTGGGACAAAAACATCAAATGATCTGCTATGAACTGCAAAGTACAATGTGACTCAAAAGTGAACAGTGCATAGTATCCTTCTCTAAGTGAAGGATGAAGTGTGATTTCCCACTTGAGTTCCCATTACATCATGAGTGACATTCAGTTTGGGGAAAATAGTTTAATGTATCTCAGAAAAAATAGTTCATATTTTTCCATCTCAAACAAAACAGTGGTTACGAGGTCCAGCGCCACCAAGCGACCTTCATTCTGTCCCATACTGCTGAAAGCGAATCCAAGGCTGGACGGACGTCCAGGATGGTGAACTGGTAGTCCTTGTTGACCTCACCACCATCATAGTAATCAATCACGTATCTAACTTCTGTCCCACAACGGTTGATGATCCAATCGTGCCTATCAAAAGGCAACTCATACCTGGAACAAAAACATGCTAGTGAGTGTTAAAATATTTGCTGTGTACTCAGTCCCAGTTTAAGCAATGAGAAAGACCTAGAAGCACATGCAAACACCTGCTCTCGGAGTCAAACATTTAATTAGGGAGGTGAGACTCGGAATCACACAGTGTACAACGCCAAGGGAAGATGGCACTGAAGAACTGTGATGAGTCCAGATCACATACATGACAGCTCATGTGTCTGGAGAGGAGTAAGGTCAACAGGAAAGAGGTTTGGGCCAGGGAAGTCAGCTGAGACACTGCAGAAATCCAGGTGTGAGCTAAGAATTGGAACTATGTAAGAACAGAAAGAGAGGAATGCTAAGTGCATAGACCCAAAGAGATTGAACACAGGAAGAGTAAGAAGGCAGATCCAAGAATACAGGAGACAACTCAATTCAACTCTAGGATAATTAAAAAGGAAGCAAGTCACTACATCCTAATAAATCTGCTCATAAATGGGCAAACCTCAGTGAGAGAAAGAAAGCTACAGCTGAATGTGGATTCAGTTTTGTAAAATGGCACTGCAATCCTTAGACTGGATTTTATGCTAAGACAAAAGGTGACCCTGACCTGAGGAACATGAATCTACACTTCAGCACTGATACTCACCCCATCCAGGAACGAATTCTTGCTCTTGGTGAATACTCTTTCGCTTTCCCTCCAAACCGGATTAATGATGGACCACAAGGACACTCTCTAGAAATTCCCAAGTAAGGAAAGCCTGTTAAAGTATTTTCTTTCCTTTGACAAAGATGATTTATTTCAATTTTTCAGCAATATACATTTTTCTGTAAGCAATTCACAGATCACACTTACAGAGAAAGGTAAATTCTAAAACAACTCAAAGAACAAATCCTTATTTGTTAAAAATATTTCTCTTTCCTTCTAGATTGGGTGCATTCTACTCTCTCCCCGTCCTTCCAGACATTTGCACAGATCTTTGCAGGAATCAAGAAACAGGGCCTTTTCATTAGGTACAGGGGGACAGGCACACTTTTAAAAAAGGCTTTAAGTATTGTATATCATGCTTCTTTTGGGTACAGAGCAGCTGGGGTGTTTTCAGATAAGAAAATCCTATACTGTTCTTTCATTTCAAACCAATGAACAGCCTTTATGAAGAAATGAAAACGATGAACTAATCCCTAGAAATGAATTGTAATTAATGTTGGACCAGTTCCTTAATAATTACACACAAGCTGAAGGATGGCAAGGTCCTGGCTAGCGAACGCACGCCCCTCTGCCTGCAGACCCTTGAAGAAAACTCCCTAGGTGCCAGCCCTCTGTAGGCACCAGGTACAGCAGCACCAACAAGACCCCCTAAGCCCTGCCCTCGTGGAGTTTACAATCCCCCTATGTGCTAGACAGATAGCTTTTACCCCAACAGAGGAGGTGGCAGCCAAGACATGAAGTCAACTGTCTTGCCAGCTACTCCCATTGATAAGTCAGGCTTCAGTCTTGATATTTCCCTCTAATGAAGTGGGAGGGAGAAAAAGTCCCAAGGTGTAAAGGATCCCCCACTTGAGGATTCATGAGTTACTTTCTTTTAGGAACTGCTCCTTAGTGTCTTTTCTCAAGAGGGTCACAGGCAAAGTAGTAAACTCAATCCAGGTAAACTTTCTCCGGGAGACCACAGCGTGGGTTTTTAGGAGGCCTACTTAGTTTTGACCGAACTCTGGAAAATGACCAGAGAGGAAGCTGAATCTGACAAATGGAAATTTCCTTTTTCTCCCTCCTTTTTGCTTCATCATCACTCAACAAGTAGCAGGCTGTCTTAATTAGAGCACACTTTCAACCTAGGTCTTGCCACCACTTGTTGCCCTCAGGAGCAAGCTAGGAGGGTGACTCCTGCAGGTCAGGGGTTACTGAGGGGGAACGTGGTTGCAGAGTTGTTCCCCATCACATGCACCCATCCCAGGCCCAGGGCCCAGTCAATGACACCCAGAAAGTGCTACTAACAGAACACCCTTAAAAATCATTAAGTGGATTTTAGACAAGAAATTGTTACATTTTGCAATTAATTTGAAAGGCAAACCACCGATTATGATATACTCTGGCTCAATCCACAACCATGCACCTCACTACACTTCTTAAAGTGGAGGTCAGAATCTAGTAGTATCAGCAGCACTCTAGAAACACTAAGTTTGGGTCCTACCCCAGCCCAACTAAGTTCCAACTAAGTCAGACACCCTGCCGTAGGGCCAGCATGCTGGGTTTTAACAAACCTTCCAGGTGATGTTGTTGCAACTAAGTGGGAGAACCACTGCTTTCAACAGGTTGAGGTTCCATCACCAGTAACACACAACTGCATTTACCTACTCTCCTTGAGAAAAAGGGTCCTGTGCTAGGCCATCTCTTTGTGTTAAGTCCTAACTGGAATTCAGTAAATGCTACAGAGGGAATAAAAATGTCTTTCCCATCTCCCTTGGGGCAGACAGCATTTTAGTATCTCCCTTTCCACATTCTCTGCTTTCAATGAACTGTGATATTCCTCCTACTGAGGGGTGGGGTCTGTCCCCTCTCCTTGAAGCTGGGCAGGTTCCTGATGCTATGGAACTTCCCAGGCTGGGTCAGAAAAGGAGATACAGCTTCTTCCTGGTGCTTTTGGCAATTCTAGCTCTTGAGACATGGCCACCACAATGTGAAGAAGCCAAAGTTGCCACATTCAAGAACTGTGGACAGGTGTCCTAGCCGACAGTTGGCACCACTTGCCAGATGAGTAAACAATCAAACCTTCAGAGAACTCTAGCCCATAGTTCTGAAGCCATCCTGACCACTGAGTCTTGGCAGCGGAGTTCTCAGACATTAGGGAGCAGAGACAAACCACCCCTGCTCTGTTCTTCCTGTATGCTGCATCCACCAACTCCACAAGCCTAATATAATGGTTGCTATTTTTTATACGACTAAGAAGGGTGGTCTGTCACATAACAATAGTCACTGGGACATGCCTGCTACATAAAATGTTTTCTTAGAATAAAAAATTATTTGAATAAATGTTAAAACTCTAGAGAGCTGATATGAAATAAGAAAGATGCTGGAAAGATTTTTGTTTTAAGATCTCAAAACATACTTACGCAGCATGAAGGGCTTCCCATTTTAAAATCTCCTTCCAAGCCTGCTCGTTATTCTGATTGTGAATTCTAATGATATTATACATATCTTTCTGACTGATATCCTCATCCTTCCACTTCCACCTAGGAAAGAACATTTGGTAAAATTTGACAGATTGTACTGATAATGCTCAAAAGTTAATTCACATATTTTCAAAAAATGATTTATTAAACATTACCCTTTATGAAAGAACTAAGAATGCTCCTTTTCTCTGAATTTAACAGATTTAAGAATCATTTTCAAGATTTACTCATGATCATGGAGTAGTACTATAATTTTAATTTTAAAGCTACTATATAAACACTGAAAACAAAGATAAAAGGTTCACCTTAATTTCAATGAATTGAGTCACAAAAAAACCAGACTTACAGAACCATTGACACTTGTTCAATTAGTAGGACCACTGAGTAATAATTCCCTAACTTTTTCTAAAGATTTTATGTAAGTGGTTTTTTGTTTTTTAAAAAAAATACCTACTACAGGCTGTGATAATTAATTTTATGTGTCAACCTGACTAGGTCATAGAGTGCCCAGATATTTGGTCACACATTATTCTGGGTGCATCTATGAGGGTGATTTTGAAAGAGAATAACATTTCCATCAGTAGACTAAGTAAAGCAGATTGCCCTCCTTCTTCCATGCACATGGGTGGGTCACATTCAATCAGTTGTGGGCCTGAATGAAACAAAAAGGCTGACACTTGCATGAGTAAGAGAGAAAGCCTTCTGAATGACCATTTGAGCTGGGACACGAGACTTTTCCTGCCTTTGGACTTGAACTGAAACATCAGTTCTTCTCCATCAACTCTCCTTGGTCTCTAGATTGCTGACTGCAGATCCTGTCAGCTTCCATATTCATGAGTCAATTCCTTAAAATAAATATCTTGGCCAGGTTCGGTGGCTCAGCCTATAATCCCAGCACTTTGGGAGGCCGAGGCGAGTGGATTGTCTGAGCCCACAGGTTCGAGACCCACCTGGGCAACTTGGCAAAACCTTGTCTCTACAACAAATCAAAAAAGGCAGAAGGATCACCAGAGCCCAGCAGGTCAAGGCTGCGGTGGCCGGGAGCGAGTCACTGCACTCCAGTTTGAGTGACAAAATGAGACCCCAACTCAAAAAATAAATAAATAAATAAATAAATAAATAAATAAATATCTTTCTGCTCTCTTTGCCCCGCCCCCCCTCCCGCCCCCATCTTATTGGTTCTGTTTCTCTGGAGAACTCCAACAAATACACTGGCTTTGCACTTATATTCTGATGGGTTTGAAAACTCAGTTGATTAAACTAACCATTAAAAATTTACTGTATGTTTGGGAAGTAAAAACTTCTTTAACATATTTTGTTAGATACATTTGACAAGCACATTTATATTCTATATAATATGCTCACTCACCCTTTCCTTAACATTGCATTCCAGAACATCTGCTCAGAAGGATAAACCCACTTTTTCTCTGAATCTGCTCTTGGAATAGATGACTCCTCTCTGACAGTAGACAATGCAAATGGCTGATCTGGAGCTGGTATTTGATTGGGTGGTGGCATCTAAGTAAATAAGCAGATTTTAATACTGGAGATATGATATAAAGTCAAAACAAATGATATAATTAACTACTTCCTGGAAAGCAATGCATCACACATAAAAAATCAGGTTGCTTATTAAAACTTCACACTTCTCAGATAATTTGACTGTTTTGAAGAATCAGATTACTGAAGTCACTTTTCCTCGTTAAGTTTTTATAAATGGTAAATAAATACTGCAATTGTATTTCTGGTCTCTTCCTCTCTCCCTTGAACAAATTTAGAAGTAATGCCACCATGGAATAAGAAGTAAAAACTAATACCATGATCATTAGGCATTTCTAAAAACGTCTTTATGACAAGCTTTTCAAAAATGACTATTCACTTTCTGAGGAAAAGTCTCATAGAATACACGTACAACACCACTTTCTTTTTAAACACGCTTGACGTTTAGATTCCTGCTCATGCTTCATCCTTTGGGCTGAGTACATTACAGATGAGGATTTGCATCTCAACACTGCCAGATGAGGTGGGAAGCATCCTTTCTCCCAGACATGTGGGCCAGCAATACCACCACGATAACACCCAGCCTAGGCCAGCATCTCTCATCCTTGGCACTAATGACATTTGGGGCTGGACAATTTTTACTAATGGTGGCCCGTTTTAAGCACTGTGAATGTTTAGCAGGATGTTTACATGGGAAGCAAAATTACCCCAGTTTGGGAATCACTGGCCTAGAACTCTTTGTGTTAGAAGTATAAAGAATTTCCTAGCAGATATGTTAGTTAAACATTGCAGTCACAACAAGACCCCTAGTTAGAATACCAACAGCAGAAAAGGTTGTGTGTGGTGGGCACTGCACTGAGTATCTGATCTGCATCATTACCACAGAGTGTTTAAGACAGGTCTGAGGTTTTTGGGGATTCCACTTTGGCTCTGCCACTTCCTAGCTGATGATGTGGGGCAAACAGTTTACTTTCTCACTCTCAGTTATCTTCAGTCCTAAAATGGGGACACTAACAATAGTGGCTGTACAGAGTTGTTATGAAGATTAAAGGAGAGAATGGAGGATGCTTAGCTGAAATATTTCATACATGGCCACAAGAAAAGTTAGCTGTTATTAGTCCTCTCGCTATATATAATGATCCCATGGGGTAGAAGTCTAGGTGTTTAAGATTCCAACAGACCAATGTTCTGAGCCAGTAGGCTATTGCAGATCATCTAACCCAGTGGACTACCAGGGGTGTTTGTAGCAATGTTGCCTGTCACTGCTTTTGTAGTAGAGCTAAGTAGTGCGACAGAAACCCTATGGCCCCCAAAACCAAAAGGACCCACTATCTAGCCCTTTACAGAAGCAGTTTGCCGATGACCTCTGGTCCAAATTATTGAAGGGCTGTGTGGAAGACAATCTTGGTGCATTGCCCCAAACTTTATTTTCAAAAATGGGAAGTAGGCCATAGTTTGTTGATTCCTGAGATAGACACTGCTATTGTATCCCTCACACCCTCTTTTCCAGGCTAAATATTTCTAGTTTCTTCAAACATTGTCTAGTTTACTAAAATTTCTATTGTTGATAATCCTGTGACCCTCTAAAGTATAGACTTGAGCCTGTCTTTCTGATAAAACATGCTACCATAATCCTTGATGTTGTCTGTTACAAAATATAGTGAAGCCACATCTACCTTGCCCTCACTTCTCAATGGGATTAAATTTGCTGGCAGCCAGGTGACACTGCACCACCCTAGTGACTCTTGTGCAAGCTGGCACCCAATTATTCCTGAAGAAGTCCCCCAATCTTATAATGTGACTACAAGTTTTTCCCAGATCAAGGACACTTTTACTGTAATAACTCTAGCTATGATTCTTACAGAATTTCCTATCTATCACCTAGTAACTCTCTCCCAAAAGAGAATATTTGGTATGATTTATTCCCAGTAAACTGATTCTGGCTCTTCATAATCAGTGTTTTCTCTCCCAGAAGCTCCCTGAAACTACACTTAGTAACACATTCTGGATTTCCACTGTAGATAAACTATCAAACTTCTTTGTTTCCAAGGACAGAAGAATCCATCCTAGTTGTCTGCAGTTTGTCTCGGGAGTCTGTACAAGCATTTCTGCATAAAAAGCTCCAGAAAGAAGAGACGAGCACAGATTACCAGATTTGAAGGATTCAGGTTCTCCTTATTCTCAGTTGCAGTGCCCTTGATGGGACACTCCACATACTCATAGGCACGTTCCTGGTGGGCAGGTACAGAATGTGTTTTGCTATCACAGGTTTGGCCAGATGGTTCTGCACTCACTGGACAGCCTGAAATAATCAAGTGTAAAAACGGTTTCACCACAAAGGCAGGACATCTATTCATAGCTCTGTCAACTGGGACCCTAAAGAATTGAATTTCTCACCAATTATTACCACCATAGGAAAAGTCAGGTTTCTTATGTTTAAATCTACCAAGAACTAAGAAAGTTCTATACATTTGCTTTTCCTCTGAAAAAGCAACAGGTACAGATTCTCTGTCATCACCCCCAGCAAAAATAAATGAAAAAAACCTCAGCGGTTGCAAGAGCATGTATTGTCCATGCCACGGTTTTAGTAACCTAGTTGGCTAAGCAGCTGGGAGCTGTTAAAGGCATCTAAGAGGGGAGTGGCCTCATTTCATGGAGTCTCCTTGAATTCCCATTCTCTAGTTCCAATCAAGCCCAGCCCCAATCAGAACACACCTGCAGTCCAGGCTTTTGTTACTGAATTCTCTCAGGTACAAGGGACAGGCGAAAAAATGAGTGGAGAAGACTTCACAAAGGCTACTGGAAAAAATCTGAATCCTACTGTTTGTGCTTGGTCACAAGACTAAAACAAGGCACAGAAAACCATTGGGCTTAGAAGCTATTCTCATCAGTCAACAAGAAGAGTTTAGCAAGAAAAGGAAGACATTAAAGAAAATATTTCACAACTCATACAGGATCCAGATGCCACTTACGAAGGCAGGTCTGAGCTTAATGAGATGAACAACAGGAAAGGCAGTCAATGCCCAAGGATCCAGGGTGCTGATCCCAGTAAGTGTGGGGACTAAGAAACTGGTTCATAGAGTGGACAGGCCCCTGGAGAACTGCGACTCAGGAAAACAGCTGCTTGTGTAATGAAATCCTGGTCTCAGGCAGCAGCAGTAAGTACAGAAAATACACTGAATGCTGTACACAAAACAAACTAGCTTCCTTTCACTTCCTTCCCCATGCCTCTCTTCCTAAGCCCTCATTTCCTAGTACCCCATGCATCTGCCCACTTTAGAAGTGAAGGGAGACTTGCTATACCTTCCTTCTCTAACATTTAAAGCACCAATCCTTTCCATGTCACAGATCCCAGATGAGTATTAGAAAGAAAATAATGATTATATTTTTTACATTATATAACCAGTAGCCACTTCGATCTTCAAATACTTACATGTGTCACTAATGTAAATAAGCCTGACTGATGGCTCTCCAAGAGAGACAGCAAATGAAATAAAACCAGAGACAGGGCTCTATGATCTCCCCGAGGACACTCAGAGCAGGAGCACAACTACTTTGTCTGATCTGTCTCAATTCTTCCTGTGGAAAGAAACTCCAGAAGAACACTGGATCTGCCCTTGTCCAAGGTCAGAGAATTTTTGCTGGCTTTGCCACTTACTACCTATGTGACTTGGAGCACAGCAATTATCTAAACCTTAGTTTCCTTGACTATAAAATAGGGAGAAAACCTACCAAACAGGATTATGAAGCTCCATCAAGCAAAGGATTTGTGTCTATTTTGTACACTGCTATTCTCTGTGCAGAAACAAACAAAACCCAGCAGTGCTGGGTTGGCACAGAGTGGGCTGGCTGACTGAGGGAATGAATGACTACAACACAAGCATTAGTACTCAGTAAGCACACCAGGTTGCCTCTGTCCCTCACAACTTACTGATTCAAGTCAACTTTAACATGAAAAATCTAAAGCAGACATGCACCAATTAAAAATGAAAGACAGCTTTCCTATTTTTACCTTTTTACCTAAAGACGGGACCGCAGGTCCATTAGGCGATGGTTTACTTTTATACTGGAGAATACCACAACAGGGATGGGAACAAGGGTTATTTATTAAGACAGCTAGAGCTACATAAAAGTTTCTCAACACTGGTACTCTTGACATTTGGCACCAGGTGATTCTTCGTTGGGGGGCCATTCTGTGCATTGTAGGATGTTTAGCAGGATCCCTGGCCTCTACCCACTAGATGCCAATAGCATCCTTTTCTCTCAGTTGTGATAACTGAAACTGTCTCCAGATGTTGGCAAGTGTCTCCTGCAGGGAGGGGGAATTGTTGTAGGCCCAAGTAAACTTTTTGGAACTGGCACTCATTTATGGAGTACTCACAACATTCTCAGGCATTAACTCAATTAATCATCATAACAGCTTTGTGAAATATTATCACCTCATCTTACAGATGAACTGAGGCTCAGAGAGTTTACTCATCTATTGTCACAAACCTCTTAAGTGGCAAGGTAAGGACCAGACTCAGGGTGCCTCACGCCGATGCCTACCAGCCTCACCAGCACACTATATTGTCTCTACCTTAAAAAAAGAATTATCTTTTGTTGTTAATATTCTACACAAAGGGTCGATTACCTTTCATTTTCTTTTCATGCATTGGGCATCCTGAAGGCGGAGATGCTGTCCGATGATCTGAAGCATTTGAGGTTTGAACTGCAACAGCAGGAGTCGATGGAGACAGACCCATTGTTGAAATTACACTCCAAGTAATTCTAAATTTCTGCCTGCCAACACAAAGAGATGAATGTTGATGCCTGCACTCAAACTATTCCCTTGTTATTCGTAATCTGGCCAACGTTTGTTCCTCCTCTTTGTCATCTCATGGGAATCTACCGGCCAGGGTACCCACTTTGAGAGAGAGCTTTCATGTATCCCCCTTTGGGAAATTCCGTGAAATCTATGCCAACCTCTGTGGACAAGTTCCTAAGTGAGATTTGGGGGTTGAGTGAGGGTCTCTCTAAGAAACCACGTCACAACCGGGAGAAACAGGCCTGGGTAGAGTTCCAGGGGTGGTGACCCCGGTGGGGGAGGGGGGGTTCACTATGCCCAGATTCAACCTCCCGTTTCCGGGACCTTCGCGAGGGGACAGGGGTCGGGGAAAGGTGCAGCGCATAAATGAGGATTCAAGGAAGAAAGGAAGGGACAGCGGAGGTCGAGGCACTGGCACAGTCTTCCTTACACCATCCCGTGAGTCCCATCTGTTCCAGCCCGCGGTCCCCAGACCAACCGGCCGTGGCTGGCTCGCCCTTCCGCACCTGAGTCCTACTCGAGGCTGCTCCGGGCGAATGGCCGTGCCTCTAACTGTGAACCCGAGCCCACAGCGGCAGCCACTCCTGCCGCTGCCGCCTCCTTCCTCGCTCGGTCACCGCTATCGCTGCGGTCACGGCTAGCGATCGCACGCGCCGCTACTTCCTTTCCGGAAGGCGGGACTTCCGTGCACGCAGGAAGCAGGGAGTGGGCTGAGGAGAGGAGTCGCCCGTCAATAATGGAGGGTCCCGCCCCCTTCACGCCTCGGCCTATAACCGTGCGGGCCCGCTCTCTGGCTCCGCCTCTCCAGATCAGGCGGATTTTTCAAAACGCCAGAGCTGTCAAGGAAAGTTGTCTGGTTCTGAGGCTTCCCTAGAGTTAAGATCGCTACTATATATGCTTTAAGCGGCAGAGGGAGTACTTTAGAGGTATTTTAAAGTTTCTGTTTTGAAATGTTATCCAGTCAGAAACATTAGTAGGTGTGCAGAACTTTGGCTGGTTCTGGAAATCCGAAAAATAGGACAGGTTTCTTGCTGCCAAGGCCTTCTTAACTGGGTGTGGATTTGAATGTCTGTTCTCTCATGATACTCTATTCTGTTACACCTCTTACACATTTCCTGTCTCTCCCTCAGCTGTCTCTTCTTTTCCATAGTTCTCCCTTCTCTCCCATAATACCCCTTGTCCCAAGATTTTTGTTACTCCCACAATTCTCTGTTCTTTTTACAATTCTTCATGTCTTCCACATCTATTTTTTCCCATATCTGCCTGCTTCTCCTACAATTCTCCCATTTCTCCCACAATTCTCTGTTCTACCCACAACTTTATCTCCTACCATTCTGTGTTCTTTCCCACAATTCTGTGTTCCTGCCCACAATTGCTAATGTTTCTTACCATTCTGTATTATCTCGTGTAGTTCTCTGGTTCTTCTATAAATCCTCTATCTCTCCCACAATTCCCCATTCTCTCTTACAATTTTCTGCTCTATAGCAATACTCAATCCTCTCAGAATTCTCTGTCTCTCCCATAATTCATCCTCTCCCACAATTATATTTTTTCTATTTCCAGTGTCTCCTCAATTCTTCATTCTCTCCCACAATTCCCTTTTTCACTCACAGTTCTCTGTTCTTTGCCATAATTCCTCATGCCTTCCACAATGTTTTGTTCTCTCTCACAATTCTCCACACTTGCGGTTCTCCATTCTTATACAATATTCTGGTTTTTTCATGATTCCCTAGTCTCAGCCCCAATTCCACATCCCTTCTCATGATTCTCAGTTCTGTCATGATACTTCATTCTTTCTTACAATTCTCCATTATCCCATAATTCCCCTTTCTCTCAAAATTCTCCATCTCTCCCATCATTTTCTGTCCTTTTCTACAATTTTCAGTTCCCTTTCACAATTTCTCAGATGACCCTAACTTGGTTCTGCAACTTCTGGGTTTTCCAAGATCAGGCCTAGTGGAGGAGGTTGTTCTGGCCCATTATCAGAGCACCAGAAGTGTGTGTGGCCTGCGCATGAGGGCATGACACAGAAGATAAGATTTATGGAAGAGCACAGCTGACTTTGCATGGGAGTGGCCAAGGTAGAAAGCAAGGGTGGGGTGGAGGAGCATGGCCCAGATGAGTGGTGTATGGTGCAGTGGAAGGGGCATGCTGGGAGGGCTCATGGTTGTCATGAAGGTATCAGGAAGAGTGTGGACAAAGAGAAGCACAAAAGACCAATTATTTGTCTTTCTCATGATTCCCTGGTTCTTTCACGTAATTCTCTAATATAGTACTTGAAAAAAAATTGTAATTTTGTACTTAAATGTGTATTTCTCTTACCCATGCATGGTTTTTTGAAGTTAGAAAATAGATCTTATTTAGATTTTTATCCCATATATTAGTGCTACTCAAAATTTGTCCTGCCATTGGAGGCCAGTTTTCACACTGTTGCCATTCTACTGTGAGATTTCACCAGAAAGGAGCTTTCACCAGAAGATAAAACAAGGCATTGCTTTCTTCATCAAGAAAGTCTTGCTATGAAAAATGTCTCATTTCAATTAAATTGCACTTAGTGACATAGCAGATTTACATTCTACTACAAGCTTCTTATCTCAGTGTGGGCCTCTAACTAGCAGTTTCTGGACTGGAACTCAAGTAGCACTGCCCTATCATTACAAGTCTAGTTCCTGTCGTATAATTGAGTGCTCACTGAAGCAGTCAGAATCAGATAATGAAGGGAAAACAGAATCTTGAACAACACTATTCATTCAATAGTATTTGTGGAGCATCAATGATGTGCCAGGTACTATGGTAAGTACTGAGAATATAACAGTGCTGGACAAACTCCCTGCTCTTAGGGAATTTATGTTCTATTACATGAATATATCAACCAACAAACAATCCAGCACAGAGAAATAAATAATTTCAGATTCTGAGAAATACCACCAATTAAATGAAACAGGTAATGTGACAGAGTTTGAGGGGTGGGAAGCTAGCCAGATCCATGAAGCAGCAGATTTGTATTTCTTGGGAGCTTGTTAGAAATGCAGAATTTCAGGACCCTCCCCAGAAACACTGAGTCAAAGTCTATCTTGTAACATGACTCCCAATGATCAGTATTCATGGTAATGGTATAGATTGAGAGCTCAGGTTACCCTGTCAGATATGGTTGCCAGCAAAGACCTCTCTAGGAATATTTTAACTGAGACTTAAATGATGATCAGGACCCAGTCAGGAAAATGTTCTGTGGTCAAAAAGAACAGGGGAAGACCAGTGTGACCCACAGAGTGAGTCAGGGGCAGAATAGTAGGAGGTGACATTGAGCTGGTCATACTATAGGCTATGGGGAGGAGGTTATATTTCTTCTCATTGAAATGTGAAGCCATAGAAGGTTGGGTTTTTTTTGAGTTATTTGATCTGACAATAGGGATAACTTATTTATCTCAAGTTTGCTCTTCACTACACTACAATTATGCTGGAGACTTTCACCTGGCTTCCTGCCAGCACTGCCCATGAACTTCACAGAATGTGGTCTGCTAAGGCCTGAGTACATCAAGGTAAGTTCCTGAGACAGCCAAGGGTCCCCTTTACAGCTCCTTGTTCCATGGAGTCTTCCAGGACTCACCATGTCTGTACTCAGAGGGACCATGCTTACATTAAAGGCCAGGGTTCCCTCTTGCTCTTGGAAATAAATGCCACTTTTCTTTAAAGGGATTATTGCTAATAGAGTTATAGATTGCCAGAGGTTATCATTCTGTTTAGTATTTTCACAACCATTGCAATATATTCAGAGAATATATTACTACCAATTAATAAGACCCAGGCAGATTTGTTTTTTTTTTAATGAGAGTCCAGAGTCTCTTAACATTGAATTAATTAAGTCACTGATTGTGGATGAGTGTCTATGTTGTGGATCACTCCCAACTTCTTATATGAACCCTAGTTTCATGTCTCCAGATGTACTCAAGGCTTCTCTCTTTGAGAAAGTTTCTCTAATTTATAGCTGAACTTATTTAAGACTGGACTCTCCTTGATACCTGACAAGGGGCTCTGAATGGGCACTGACAGGCCTACAATGGGGCCAGTGCAGAAAACTGAAGGCTATTCTCTGGCAAATACTAACAGGGAAGTGCTCAGCCTTTTCCTGTGTTGTGAAATCCAGCATGTATGAAGTTTGAGAGGAGATAGGGTACTGTGTCCCTCTCTGGCAGTGCTTCCCAGCTAGGGCTGATTTTGCTGGCCCCATCCTAAAGGTATATGACAATATCTGTAGACAATTTTGGTTATCACACTGGGGATAGTGAGTGCTATTGGCATCAAGTGAATAGACAGTGCAAAGGACAGCTCTAATAATAAAGAATTGCCTGACTCCAAATTTCAGTAATGCTGAGGTATAAAAACTCTATTCCGGGAAAAGAAAAGGCCAGAAATGCCCTCTCCTTGATGGCTGGCAGCCAGAACATGAGTTCCTACCTTCTCAGTTCAGCATATATATATAGAGAGAGGGGTACACTCTTCCACCCTCCCCCCCAAAAAATCCCAGAATTATCTTTTGGAGGGTGAGCCCCTAGTAGTACAGGATTCCTCCACTAGGTAAGTGTTCTGGGAACCCATCAGCATCAGTGTACCAGCTAGAGTTGTTGTGAGAGGCTGTGTCCAACTTCAGCGAATTTTTTTTAGAGATTCTTTCAATACATTTGCTCATTTCATAATGAGTGACTTATGAGTGCACCTGCCCACACTGTGCTGAGTGTTCAGCAATTTTTGACCGAAAACAGCATGACCCTAGTGCCCCACCCTCCTTATTCACCTGATCTTACCCAGAGTAACTTTTTGTTTCCCCAGATAAAAAAAGTCTTCAAAGGGAAACGTTTTGCCAATGTGGAAGAGGTGAAACAAAAAAATGTCAAAAGCACTAAAAGGCATCAAAGTTGATGAGTTAAAAACTGTTTTGGG